AACCTTTTAAAAGTTTCCGATTAACGTACGAAAAACACAACAGTTTTCCGATTAACCTAATGATTATGATAGCGATACAACTTAAAATGTTACAAATTGTAAACGATAATAAAGCAAAACACAGGTTTAATAAGGGATAAATGATAACAATAATGAATGAATAAGATCGTACCTTCACATAGGGTAGATTATTGATGAGATACAATTCAAAAGCGACATTTGCCCCATAACCAATCTCTGACAATTTACCCAGTACGTTCAACTCGCAGTTCAGAGCTATCATTAGAGCATTTATTGTGATATCGTGCTGAATTTTGCATTGTTTCATTACCAGCATTATTCATCGTCAGAATATAGTCACAATTACAATATTTTGTTTGGATTTGTGCAAAAATCTAATTCTCCTTATGTAATAAATGAAGTACACGAAGCAATCGACATATAGCTGATAATGCATCGAATCTGAGATTATTATACCAATAGCATGCCGGTTTGGTGTTATTATTAATGTTCAAATCATTAAAGCAATCCCATTTCGCTTTCAATTTGCTCAAAACATCACTCAACACTGCACCACATCGTAATCGTTTCAATTCATGATTAGTTCCGAAGTATTCCGCGATTCCATATCTGAATTATGAGTTATTGAAACACATTGAACCAGCTTAAATGGTTAGCAACAAATTGCTAACAATTGTGAGTTATCGGCTATAAAACTAGATGATCAATTTTGAATGCAAATCAAAATCGAATTTCCACAACCGATATTCCAGGACAGAACGTTGAATACGACGAAGTCTTTCAGCCGTATCTTGTGTAAACCAGTCGGGTTGAGATATATTATGCAATCTCTGTAATTGAATTAATCATGAAGAATCATTTGATTCATTCGTATATCACGTCAAACTGATGTTCATTAAACGCTGCGTATATACTCAATTGCATGATGGTGTCACTGACATTATAATTAGTATGGATGTCCGAAACAAAGTAAATGCAGTCAGCCAGGCAAATTAGGATGGCAATTGAATGTATACCTCACAAAAGTAACAGTCGTATTCACGGATGAAACCGTTTTCAATTGTAGTCGGTGAACCGGATTTATTTGCAATATCTTCTAAAAACTCCTGCAATATTAAGAAACGTTCTAGAAAGTGGGAAAGATGAAGCACGAAGACGGAGACTGGATGCTAACTCGTCGAAAAATCAGATGATAAGCAACTTATTCTTCTGAATATAACACATTCGGCAAGCATATATTGTTCTGAAGTACCAATTTGATAGCAATTAACGATACGATCTCAGAGACGCGATGAAATGTCCTCACTAACTTTGTGCTCACGTTTCATGTTTTGATAATCGTCACTCTTATACGCATCTGCTTCCAACTTCGCGGCACGTTCACACTGATAAAATGGATTATCTACCTGAATTGATTCAATTGCACAGCACTTGCAATATCTCATTATTCACAATATTTTGTTGAATCAATTAAATATCATCTGTTGTTTCGGTCAAATTTTTGTTGAAAATCCTGTTGAATGAGTTTTTTATAATCTCGGAAATGAACTAACAAATCGTGATTCAGTCATGATTGTGTGCACCGGTACAGGTATCCACCCATGAGGCCATGCCATTTGGCTGTAATCGCTGTCCTTATCATTCTTGTCAAACTTTCTATCAGACACATCATCCGTCGAGAACATACCAGCAACCGTTGCCATCGCACTTAATAATGTTCGATTCTTGTCAGTACTTCGGATATAAACCTTCAAATTAAGACATTGATGCTGTCGATCTGGCTAATTCAGCTATACTTCAACACTGCATTCAATTCACCAGTAAACATTCGATCAATGTTTCAAAATTATGGATATTGACTCAAAGGGATTCGGAATTTTCAAGAACTCTATCGAGCCAAACCACAATGTTTCGTTGCATACCAATATAGCGTTACTCCTCAATCAGAATGAGTGAATCTACAAAAGTATATGATATGAGATTAGATCAACCTGTTTATATAAGTGATGCCTTGAAATGAACGGTTCAGACTGATTATCATTACTGTTATTAAAATAATACCCTCGCAATTTCCGTCCAAGCGCATACTGTTGGCTCAAGCCTCTCTGAATAACAATATCGCAGTTGAAAAATTAGTCGTTTTCAGTTTCGAATTCAGTTTATATTTTCGAAACTAAACGCAATAATCCTTCAAAATCACTGTATGAAAAACGTCAATGTCAGTAGTAGATATATTTTATCATTGTTTGAATTCATTATGATATTTTAGCTATAAATAGAACACAGAAGTATTTGGAATTAATCCCAAGTGGACAATAAAGTTCTCCATTGAGGAATGCTTGCAGTGTTTTCGAATACCTACCAGAAAACAATAATAAATGCACAGATTTTACAGTCATTCGTATCTTAAATATTGTCCCTCGCTAAAGAAGCAGGAAGGAAGGATACAATTTTGTCAATCTCTTGGAGGAGGAATCAAGTCTGAACCAAGGATTTGTCAAGAGCAAGTGATGTAAATTTCACAAGATTGTCTGGTATAAGTGGGAAATTCTTGTTTTTTTTTTGTAAATTCGGTAGTACTGATACCTCGGTAAGTTCCCCATAACCATTAGGCCAATATTTAACTTTATGAATATTGTTCGGATAATTGATAACTGGTGCGCGATCACCGTGTCGCCATACCTTTAATCAACTTCAGTTATCATTTCAATTCGAACTGATAGAATGGTCACGATGAAATATTTGAATAAATTCAATGAACTGAAATAATATTTGAATAGAAACATTTATTCCTAATCTCGTAAATCATACGAATGATTGATCAATTGAATAAGTGAATCAATGAGTTGACAAACTTACAATGTGCACATAAATAAGCTTTGGTTTATCAAAGGCAATTGCAATTTGAATCATTTGGAATGATATCAATAGTAAAAACCATAATGAAACACTGCACGAAGACATTAATCGTTGGCGTATCTGATGATGAATACAATATGATAACACGTCGATACTTTTAGCAAAATTTCTTCAAAGGCACGATTCCGTATAACCGAATAAAGGAAACGACGAAATGAATTTAATACGGATTGCATATGATTTCATGTTCTACAGCTATTCACAATTTACAATAATTCTCTCATTCAATCGTTTATTTACCCAATTGAAGCAATAAGTATTATACAAATCATTTTCTATACTTAATCCTATTGTAAAATATTACAATAACAATTTTATTGCAAAGTATCACAATAGCAACAAGTGTTATGAATTTTTTGCTGCCATTGTAAAGTATCACAATAGCAATGAACATCATATGGAGTCACCGAATAATAGATGAATATCGTTGCACAACTGCTTAATATCGATATATTTACTGATACAATTCATCTGTTCATTCACTCGTGAACGCGAGGTGATCAAAATATGAAGTTTCAACAATAAAAAACATTCTTTGTAGCATATTACGTTCATGTAATTCTTAATCTTATCAACGTTATGCGATAAACTTTATCAATATAAACTTTATGGTCTGACATCTGTCATTGTGTTCATGTTCATAAATTTGATCGCTCTGTCGACCAGCAATCACTACGCACTTGACTGCGAAAATTCATTCGATCATTATTTTAAGACGTTCCATCATCTCATCTTCAAGCATTCTGATGGATTTTTTTTTTGGCTGTACAGCTCGAGATGATCCTGAACTGCGTGAGGAGTACAAAAATATTGTTCTTTAGTTGATGAATCCTTAATTGATGAAAAAATATGCGGAGTATCTCCATGTGGATATGCTCATCATGCAACGATGTAGCTGGATTGTTCGCAGTGTTTCTTATCTATAATCATGATTGTGCAGTGGCTGTTCATTTGGATAGAAGATGAAATGAGACATTTTTGACGACAACATTATGCTACGAAACCATTCAAAATTCAAAATTGTCCCGAAACCATTCACAATCTTCGATTCAACTGAAACTTGTTCAAGTTCGTCTTGAACACTTTTTTGCTCGCATATCTTAGTGCTTTCGAAATTATGATAAAACTGACGCTCTTTCTTTCCGCTGTAACTCAACTGCCAGGCATAAAGATTTTTTGTGAGTTTGGACCTTGAAATAGACAAAATTCCTCACGGCTACACCAGAAAATGTGTTAAAATTTGGAAAATAAAAATGCATGAGAATATTTGCAATACAATATTTATCATTAACAATTTTTACAAATCAATTTTTAAAATTTGACAAATCAGTAACTGTGAA